GGGGGGCGATCATTTCGTAACATAGTACCACTATGGGGACCCGCCCGTACCACTGGCGCCGTATTGGAGGGGGTTGGCGCCAGTGACGTCACAGGCGGGTCCCCATAGTGGTACTATACTACTTATATATTCGATGTCTTCAATCTGTGCGTTCACATTATTTTAGTCGCTACCTCCGAAATACCGATCCGAAGCGAATTCTCCTCCTGCCGAACCTTTTGTATGATCCGCATAAACGACGAGCTAGTCCGAGTACAAAATTAGGTAGTTACAACTTTTTCTTTGTTCTTTGTCGAGCCGTGCATACACAACTACGTGTAAATTATATTCTCTTATATTAAAGCATTTACTATTAAAAGTATAGTGTGCTATTTCCTAATATCCAACAAAAAATAAATAAATAAAAATACTAAAAGTATAAATATAAATATAAATGTATATAGTAGTAGTAGTAGTAATAAATGAATGCAGGTGGGTTTTATTAGCCTTCTAACGCGACCTAGATCCATGAGGTTCCATTGTCGCTCCCTGCTTGTTCCGTAGGTCATTCAGTCGAGCCCAGCCTCGTGTCACTAACTTATTAAACTGCTAACCTTCGCGTTTTCAAGATCCTTGGGTGTTATCAACATACGTCCCCAGGATTCGTATCTTTTACAGGCGAGTGCAGGGCATCGACACAGTAAGTGCAGGTTGTCCTCGTCTTCTTCTCCACATAACCGGCATTCTTTCTGCTCCGCTAGTCCTAGGTTGAATAGATGTGCTCTGAGGGGCAAGTATCCTGTCAGGAGTGTCAGGAGGCCTACGCCGCTCCTCAGTTTTACTTTTCCCATTGCCAGCAATTCTCTGGTTCTTGTTTGTTTTGGGAGTCTCTAAATGTATACAGGGTGTTTTCAAAATACCGCCCAGTATTCATATAGCGTTATTCCTGATAAAAAATTAAGTCGATTACTATTAGGAAATTTTTTTCCACCATGCTTACCGAAGCAGTTATTATCGAGTAAAGATAATCCAACCAAAGCCGTGTTTTAAACGGACGCACGTTCGTGAGCCGCGCGTCTAATAGTGTCCGTGAGCACTCCGCTACGCCGGTACACCGCTGACTTCGCCGCTATCGAGCAAAGCGTTCTCACATGTCATAGCAAAGTTACGAAAAATGACGATCAATGAATTAATATTATATCGCGACAAAATAATAATTATACAAATTAAAATTATGTCACAATACTGTAAAATTAAAGTTCTTTTATTGTTAATAAATTTATAATAGCGTCAATATGGGGTTTATAAAAAGTAGGGATGTAACGAATATTCGCTTTCGCATATGCGAAAGCGAAACTTTCGCATCATTTTAGACTTTCGCTTTCGTTTTCGCTTTCGCATCTAATTATGCGAATGTTTTAACGAAAGATTTTGTCCGGTCCGTGGAATTCGCAGCTTCACCGAGGGCATACTAGATGGTGGGAAAGTAGTTTACATTTCATTCGTTGGTTTGCTAATCTAAATAAGCCAATAAGTAATACTTATTCTTATTAGAATTAGTTATACTTTTATATTATATTCTTAAGTATATAATAAAAAAGTATAACTAATTCTTAGAAGAATTTTATTTTATGTTGACTTAATAAAAAGTATATTGAGTTACTTTACTTAGAGTTATAGGAGTCAGTTTATTTTATGTATTTACGAGTTGCAATACTAGATTCAAGAATAAGAATATATTTTATTTTATTTTTATTTTATATAATTATAATTAATGTATTTTGTATTTTATTTGACTATTTAATTTAAAATAAATAAGTCATTCATATGTGTTCAGGAATCCGAGCGATTAGATTTAAATCCACTTAGAATTCTCGGAGAAAGCGTTGCGATCGCAAAGCGCGTTATTATTGTCGTCAATCTTTGCGACCGTTTAGCCCTCGACAAAAAAAACCAAGCGTTCGCCGAAATCAGCTGTTCCGGCACAGCTATTCATTCCGTCTCCAACCATCGGCAAGACAACAGTTTTCGCGACATAGTGCTCGTCGTATTTACCGCTTTCGAATAGACAAAGCATTCGTGTCTTGTTCGTGAATTCCGCTCGGTCTCTATCAGACTTCAAGTATATTGTGTGCTTAAGACGCTTGTTACAGCGTCACCAGATTGTTCAAAGTTCAGTTCTATTCAATAAAATACTTTTGGTAACTCAGTGGAAGTGTAATTGGTCGCATTATTTGTTCTTTTATTTCGACGCTGACCCTTTATATAAGGGCTGTACTAGCAACCAACGCACAAGCAACGTTGTTGCGCATTCTTCACTCGTGCCCGCACATTTTGGTCCTTCGAGCCGGATCGGTGTCGATTTCAACGTGGTGACCTTCCAAGTGTCTGACGACGTCTTATACGAATGATACCGAATTTTGAACGTTATGACAACTCTCGAGGAACTTTTGATCGCTCAAAAACAGACGATACTTTACATATCGAAAGTTCTGCCGAATTTCAAGAAGCTTGGACAAGCCAAGATGACCTGTGCAGTGACTATCAAACGAATGGATCATTTAAAGGAGCTCTTCACCAAATGCCAGGATCTTTACACAAAAATTGAGTTTCTGGCTACAGCCCAGGATCAAGCGGAGCATGCTTATTTCAAGCACGACCAATTCTCTGTCTGCGCCGACGTCTACGAGGAGACCTCAGACTACATAGCGGAGATATTATCCGGATTCGAGACTCCACTCCTTCAATCAGCCATTGGTGACGTAAGCTATCTCTCACATTCTTATCGCCCGACAACGCATTTACCGAAGCTGCATTTACCGACTTTCGACGGGAGTATCGACAAATGGGAGAACTTCCGCGATCGATTCACCTCGTTAATTCGTAACGACCAATCATTATCTAGTGTAGATCGCATGCATTATTTATCTTCTTGTGTAAAAGGGGAAGCAAGTAACGCGCTCAGCCATCTCGCGATAACGGACGCAAATTTTGCAGTGGGATATTCTCGTCGCACGATACGATAATAAGCGACGATTAATCAATTATCATTTTCAGTCATTATTAAATTTACCGACCGTTTCGACGAACACTTCCAAAGACCTTTGCGCGCTCCGTGATATATCCAACTCAGCGATCCAAGGATTAAAAAATCTTGGACGCCCCGTCGAACATTTGAGCGATATGTTAGTCTTTCTGATCTCCCAAAAGTTCGATAAAATCTCGCGAGAAGCATGGGAACTCCGGCGTGATACTTCTGAGCCGTATCCAACATTCGCGGAAATTAATCAATTTTTAAACGAACGAATTCAAGCGTTCGGAACAATAATTCCGATTAAACCAAAAGAAAAATCAACGGACACGACAAAGTCGGCGAAGAATAACACGGTCGCTTCCCATGCTGCGTCAACCGTCAGTTTCAAGTGTCCTGTTTGCAAACAAGGCACTCATCTGTTATACCAATGTGAAACTTTCTTAAATAAAACTCCGATCCAACGTTCCGAATACATTCGTCAGAATAACCGTTGCCTTAATTGCTTCAGTCGGAAACATCATGTCAAAAACTGTACGAATAGTCACGTGTGCAAATATTGTAACGCTCAACATCATTCGTTATTACATTATAATGTTACTGCCAATCCATCTACTTCTGAGCAATCAGAGGCGCCTGCGACAACAAGCGAAGTCGCGACGCATTTCGTTTCCAAGACCGTGTCACCAAATTCGAGCGGTCTGCTTGCGACAGCTCGCCTGAGATTACATTCGCCGCATGGGCGCACCGTAACCGCGCGCGCTCTGATAGATCCTGGATCCGTCGTTACTCTAATCACTGAATCAATCGTCCAATGTCTCTATTTACCAAAATTTAAACACGCAGTTTGCGTTACCGGCGTTGGCGAGACACAATTTCCCGTGCATTCTGCGACGAACATTACCGTTTCTCCGACGTTTAGCGACGGACCTGCCTACTCGACGAACGCGCTAATTCTTAAGTCGTTAACCAAGTACTTACCGAACCAAAATCTACTCGTCGATCAATGGCGTCATATTTCGGATTTAACCTTGGCTGATAGTGAACCCATGAGTCGCGATCCAATTGATATCATTATCGGCATTGACCTTTATGGTATGCTCATCCTCGATGGCATTCGTAAAGGCTCAGCCAATGAGCCCGTAACTCAAAACACCGCGCTGGGATGGATCCTGTTTGGTCCTATCTCTCCTTCCTTGAACCGTCATTCACCTGCCTTATCCGTGCATCACAGCAACATTGAGGATCTCGATTTCGTGCTTCGGCGATTCTGGGAAGTAGAAGAACTTCCTCAGAGCCTTCATCTAACTCTAGATGAAATCCGTTGTGAGGAGCACTTTGTTGCGACTCATTCCCGTACTGATGAAGGTCGCTATATTGTTCGACTTCCGTTTAAAACCAACAATTCAGTTTCGCTAGGTGAATCCCGTGCCGTTGCGTTCGCGTGCCTCCAACGTCGTGAAAGGCGTTTCCTTCGTCAGCTGACTTCAGCTTCCGAGTATAGTAATTTCCTCGACGAGTATCGTACCCTTGGTCATATGAACCAAATCCAGAACCCTGCGATGCCCAGTCTCACTGGTCAAAGCTATTATATTCCGCATCACGCAGTAATACGAACGTCAAGCGCGACAACACGTTTACGCGTCGTATTCAACGCATCAAGCCCATCTTCGAATGGCACGTCGTTAAACGACCTTTTACTTGTTGGTCCTAAATTACAAATCGATATCACAACTGTCTTATTACAATGGCGCCAACACCGATATGTTTATATAGCCGATATTGAGAAAATGTATCGACAAATCTTGGTCGATCCCCGCGATACAGATTTTCAACGCATTCTATGGCGCGCTTCACCGGATGTACCTGTCGACGAATATCGTTTAATGACTGTTACTTACGGAACCGCCGCAGCACCCTACCTCGCCCTTCGCGTACTTAAGCAGCTCACTGAGGATGAGGGATCACATTTCCCACTCGCAGTGCCGATATTAAATTCACAAATTTATGTAGACGATTGCATTTTCGGAGCTGACGATAAAACTCTTGCGCGGGAGACTCGTAATCAATTAATCGCTTTATTGTCTAAGGGCGGCTTTCGGTTGAGAAAATGGGCAAGCAATTGCGACGACCTCTTAACCGACCTCGATCCTTCAGATCACGGTCTAAGTAACATTCAGATGCTCACCGGCGACGAGCAACTTAAAGTTCTCGGCATTGCCTGGAACCCGGTGTCAGATGTCTTCTATTTCCAAGTAAATCTTGCTCAAGAGTTGTCGAAAACCAAACGTGCTATCTTGTCAACGATCTCGAAATTATTCGATCCATTAGGCTGGGCGGCACCCGTCGTCATAACAGCAAAAATTTTTATGCAACAATTGTGGTTACTTAAACGCCAATGGGATGAGGAGATTCCGGATGATTATTTTGCACAGTAGCAAAATTATCATGAGAGGCTCCAAAATCTCGACCGTCTTCGAATTCCCCGTTGGACAGCAAACAGCGCTGCCACGGTATCCCGAGTGCTTCACGGATTTTCGGATGCCTCAACAAAGGCGTATGCAGCTGCCGTGTATCTCCGTCTTGTTTCAAACGACGGTTCCGTTACCGTCACGCTTCTGATGGCGAAGGCCAAGGTTGCTCCTCTTAAAACATTAAGCATTCCGCGTCTTGAATTATCGACCGCGTTATTGCTGGCTCGACTTATACACGTCGTACAATCGACCCTTGATCTCTCGGCGAGCGAATGTTTTTGCTGGACGGATTCAACAATCACACTCGCTTGGCTGTGTCAACTTTCTACCCGTTGGAAAACTTTTGTCGCGAATCGCGTCTCCGCGATTCATCCATGGTGCCAACCGCGACCTGGCGTTACGTGCCGTCGGAAGCAAACCCGGCCGATTGCGCGTCCCGCGGCGTGGCTCCCGATGAACTAGCCTTGCATCCACTATGGTGGACAGGCCCTTCGTGGTTGTCGCAACCAGAGAGTTGCTGGCCACACGCGCCGTTATTGTTAATCCCAGTAGAGTCAGTCCCCGAGGAGCGCCCACACAAATCAGTACCACTACAATCTCCGAAAAGTGGGACCTCGCGACTCGATTCTCCTCGTGGTCTACTCTCGTCCGTGTTACCGCGTATATTCTCCGTTTCGTGCAAATCGTGCGAAAGCTTGACCGGTCGTCGACGGATAGCAAGCCGCACGATCAAAGATCTTCTGTCATAAGTCCAGAAGAAATCCAAGCCGCGAAACATTATTGGGTAAAGACACTGCAAGCTGAATTATTCTCGGACGAAATAGCAAGATTAACTGCTCAGCGACCATTATCAAAAACAAGCTCGCTGTCAGGTCTCAATCCATATATTGACCTCACCGGCGTACTTCGCGCTGGCGGTCGACTTCGTCATTCTCTGTTTGCAGATGTGAAAAAATATCCCATCATTCTGCGCTCCCATCCAATTTTGTCACTCATAATCCAACATCATCATGTGCGCACAATGCACGGGGGCTCTCAACTCACAATCACGTCCCTGCGCGAGGAATTTTGGATTGTTCGCGCACGAACAACCGTTCGCGCGGTACTATATCGATGCGTTAGATGCGCACGCGAAGCCGCCAAGATCCCATAGGAACTCATGGGAGATCTACCGGAAGCGTGTGTTAATCGCGTTAGTCGCGCATTTATTCATAGCGGCGTCGACTATGTAGGTCCGATCGCCTTACGAAGTGCGCCTGGTCGCGGACATATGCAAATACTAATTTACACATTTGCATTCATCTTTTTCAATCCATCATTCAATAATTTGAATAGGAATTAGCAATATTTTTTAAATATTATATATTATTTTTCGTGACTCTCTCTCTCTCTCTCTCTCTCTCTCTCTATCAGTAATTGTGGCTGATTTAATCATTCAGTAGAAAAAAAAGATCTTCCGCATTCGCAAAAAAATTTTTTTTCTTTCGTTTTCGCATTCGCTTTCGCTATAACCACTTTCGTTACATCCCTAATAAAAAGGTCACAACATCTTTATAATAATCAGAACTTTATAATAAAAAACAACAACATCTTTATAATAAAGAACAACAACAACAACAACAATTAGTTACAAATTACATTATTTACAAGTTTTATTATAGTAATTGCTCAAAGTGAGCCCCACGAGCCTCAATACATGCTTCCGCACGAAGAATTAAATTTTGACGTACGCGTCGAACCATT